CACACACACACACACACACACACACACACACACACACACACACACACACACACACACACACACACACACACACACACACACACACATCGCTAAACAAGGTGAGATATACCTCATTAGTACAACTATCACCTGCTCCATCGGCCGTCCTGGCACTGCCCCTTGAGCAAGCTGTACCACCTCTCCCCTGCAGAAGAGCCAATGACCACACCCCTCATATGATGACATCAGTCATATGATGCATGCAAAAGCAATGTGGCAATTAAATCACTACACAGACTCCTTATTCAGTTATTTAAAAGTGGTGAACATAGAGCATTTTATGAAAATAAATTACAGTCAGGGGTTGGTAGAGAATTCAATTCAATTTTATTTGTACAGTGGCAAATCACAACAACAGTCACCTGAAGGTACTTTACATTGTAAGGTAGACTCTACAATAATAAATACAGAGAAAAACCCAACAATCATGATCCCCTATGAGCTAGCACTTTAAGGACAGTAGAAGGAAAAACTAAATTTTAACAGGAAGAAACCTCCGGCAGAACCAGGCTCAGGGATGAGCAGCTATCTGCTGTGACCAGTTGGAGTGAGAGAAGCAAGACAGGATAAAAGACATGCTGTGGAAGAGAGCCAGAGATGAATAACAAGTATGATTCAGTGCAGAGAAGTCACACAGTGAGTGAGAAAGGTGACTGAAAAAGAGATACTCAATGCATCATGGGAATCCCCCGGCAGCCTACAACTTTTGCAGCATAACTAAAGGAGGATTTAGGGTCACCTGATCCAGCCCTAACGATATGCTTTAGCAAAAAGTAAAGTTTTTGGAACTGCCAAACCACCTTTTTTGCATGGTATTCAAGTTGTGCCTGTTTATCTTTTGTATGTTGTTATGAATTGTACTGGCCAAATAAGTAAAAGTGCTTTTAATCTGAATGCACCCAGACAAAGAAGCTTTGGTACCTTCATCGTCCAAAGGCATCAAGGCAGATTTGTCCAGTTTATTTTGTAGCCCGAGAGAGAACCAAAATTGTAAATTATCTAATCAATGGATGGATGGATGTCTCAAAGTTGTCTAAAAACAAAATAATGTCATCTGCCTAAAGAGATATGATATGATTTTGAGCACCAATTCTAATGTGAGAGACTGTGGACTGTCTAATGACTTGTGCTAAGGGTTCTCGAGAGAGAGAGAGAGAGGCAGAACAAGAGAGGGGAAAGTGGGCAACCCTGCCTTGTCCCATGGTTGTTACATCTTGTGAGGCTGTGAGAGTGTGTGGGTGTGCTGTTCCTCTCTCTCCGCCTCCTCCTCTCTTGCTCCTCCCCTCTGTCTTTCTTTTACTCTGCCCTAGCTGATGCCCTTTCCCTCGTTTGGCACCTGAACTCAGTCAGCAATTACCTCTCAGAGGTTACTTGGGAAGAATTGTGTGGTGCAGGGTGGTTGTCCTGTGTCTCTACATTGCTTTCTAGGTGATTGAAAGGTCTTATTGTGTGATTGTGCTGCCTGTGGTGTGGAGCGTTGGGAGCAGTGGAGACAGTAACTGCGCCAAGTGAGTAGTGTGGGCCTCAACAGCAGTAGAGCTTGCTGCTGCTAGCAAAGGGTGGGCCTGTGGGCCCTCGGAAGTGCACTTTACTTTGTTGTTTATTAGTTGTTTTCTTGCTGTTGTTATCTTTTTCTTATTTAGTCTTATTGATAAAGTGGTGTTGCTGTCTCTTTGTGTTAAGAGTATTTGTAATAAAACCTTAATATATGCTAAACACCTTTGTTTGGTTTCGTTTTCATTCTTTTCCGGTCCTGTTTGTTACCGCTCCCCACACTTTCCCCTAGATCTCATTTGTGGGGATGTAACAACACTGAATGTAAACAAGGGAGAAATAAGGTCCCCTGTTAGTACACTTGCAAAGGGTGAGTGGTCTGTCTTAATCATTGCAACAAACTTCTGCTTAAACCCAAAGTGTTTTAATACTGTCCATGTATATTCCCTCTCTAGCATGTCAAAGGCTTTCTCCGCATCATGTAAGAATACTGCACATGGATTATGATAGCCATCTGTGGCACCTATGATATGCAACAGCCTTCTTATGTTATCAGATGCGAGCCTCCCTCAGATAAATCCTGTCTGGTCTGCATTAACTAAAACGTGAATAACTCTTTCCAAGCGCAATGCGAGAGACTTGGCACATACTTTGTAGTGATGGGATTTCCGGCTTATTATTAACAACAATATGAAATTATGCACAAAAGGAATTACTAATGCAAAAAAAGTGGTTTTATTCATATATGTTTATATATAAATATATACGGTGGCCCCTAGAGACAAAACACGTACAAATTCCAAAACACATTTCTAGCATTAACTGAACTTCCCAAACAGAGCCTCCTAGATCACTTAAATTACACAATTGAAAGCATATTGTTTGTATATTTATACACAATCACTCATATATATTCAAATAATAAAAAAAAATGTTCATTTACCTGTTACTACCACACACCAAATCCGGTGGTTGGTACTTCTGTCAGTGCGCCCCAGGGCAGCTGTGGCTACAATGTAGCTTGCTATTGCCAGTGTGTGAATGTGTGTGTGAATGGGTGAATGACTGAATGTAGTGTAAAGCGACTTTGGGGTCCTTGAGGACTAGAAAAGCGCTATACAAATGCAGGCCATTTTACTTGCTGGCTTGTGTAGCCACTAGGTAACAAAAGCTCAACACTGCCCCTAGCATCCTGGAGCACTTCTGTTGTGTTTTGTACGTGTTTTGAGTTTTTATGTGTTGGAGTTTGTACGTGCTTTGTCTCTAGGGGCCACCGTAAATATACTTTTATTTATTCACTCCACATAAAATGTAATAAATAAATCATATAATACAAAAACCAACTATTCACATTTCAACTTTTAACTATTTAAATTTTCAGCTTTTTCTTCTGCAAACTCACAACACAATTAAATATAAATTAAAATATGAAAACAAAAAGAAGATGCACATTCTCTGTCATATGGACCTGCATGAATAAACTTTCTGAATCCTTTATCATCTGCAACTGAAAATAGTTGTGGATGATTACTATACCTTTCTAATGTGACGTTGTTGTCCCTGGCTCTCTTTCTCTCTCTCTCCCCTCTGTTCCTGTGCTACTGAGTGTAACTACTGCCCCTCCCCCCTCTTCCCAGCACAAAGCACAAGGCTGGCGTGCGGAGTGAAGCGGAAAAAAGTGCG